CATTGAGCATCTTTATGACCATTACTTTAAATACAGAGAAAGACAGGTATGTTTTCACTCTTATGTGGATCCTGAGAAACTTAACAGAAGACCATGGGGGAGGGGGAAGGGAAAAAAAAAAGTTAGAGAGGGAGGGAGCCAAACCATAAGAGACACTTAAAAACTGAGAATAAACTGAGGGTTGATGGGGGGTGGGAGGGAGAGGAAAGTGGTTGATGGGCATTGAGGAGGGCACCTGTTGGGATGATCACTGGGTGTTGTATGGAAACCAATTTGACAATAAATTTCATATTAAAAAAAATAAATACTCTATCAAGAAAAAAAATTCTCTATTAGTCATATTACTTATCTCTGTTTCAATTAGCTCTCTTGTGAGTTTCTCCTGTTCTTTTATTTGGGACACATTTTTCTGTCTCCTCATTTTGTCAAATTCTCTGTATCTATGTGTTAGGAAAGTCAGCTACATCTCCCCCTCTTACAAGTAGTGGCCTTAGGAAGAAGAGATCCTGTAGTGCCCTGCAGTGCAATGTCTCCTGCTCACCAGAACCTGATTCTTCATGGGTTTATCTAATGTGTATTGCATACATCCTACTGTTGTGGGTGAACAACATTTGCCTTCAGTCCAGTCATCTGCAATGGTTTTCTTTGCCTTTTGTGATAAGATTTCATCTCTGTGTTGCTAGTGGGCCAGTCTGGGGCTGCCTTGGCCTTGTGTTGAGTCAGATAAAACATTTGCCAGAGCTGCGGTAGCTCTGAGCTACAGGGTGTCCCCCTGTATTGTCTTCTGAGAAGCTTTTGTTGGTGGGTGTGGCCTGCAGTTAGACCAGATGTCTGCCCCAGCCCACTGGTGGGGCATTAGTTAGACTGATATGTGTGGTTATCTTTCCTTTTCCTTAGGGCAGGAGTCACTTTGGAGTGGTGTTCCTGTTTGCACAGTGCCAAGCCTGTGGCACTGCTTTGGATTGACTCTTGCCAAGGGCATGTTGGAGGAAAGAAGTCTGTAGAAGAACACAGGGTCTAGACATGCAGTTAGCAAGGTTGGTGCTGGTCCTTTGAGGGAGAGGCCTTGTACCTGGGAAAACTCTTGCCAAGGCTGGGATGGAGGGCATGTATCTTCAGAACATGGGTGGTAGCAGGGCACACTGTTACCAAGTTAGGTGGAGAGTGTTGGCACTGTGCTGGTTACCACAGGTGTCTGTACATCTAGGTTGGAGCTTTGGGGAGGGAAATGGCACTTGCCCACCGGTCAGATGTTTATGGAGAGGTCACCCAAAGATCCCTGTCCCTCTAGCACATGCTTTGAGATTGATATTTAAAGTTCTAGGTGTTAAAGTTATGGGGATTTGTCTTTCTAGTGTGGGTTCCCCATGCCTGGGGTACCTAATGGAGGTCTGCTCCTCTCTCTTCTTTTTGCCCAGTGGCATCCCTCCCTCCCAGGGACTGTGGCTTCTGGTCACATCTCTATCCTTCCTACTCTCTTTAGTGTGGTCTCTTGTCTATATTTAACTGTGGAGAGACTGTTCTGCCAGGTTTTGGGGCATTTTCTGGGTTATTTACACTGATGTGGGTGTTATCTAGGTGTATTCACGGGACGAGGTGAGTCTAGGATCCTCCACTCTACCATCTTCCTTGGAAGTCTCCACCAAGTTCATCATTTTACAGTTTACAATTCACTCAATTTTAGTATAGTCATGATGTAAAAACTAGATATCTAATCTAGTTAGATGTTGTGTAACAATCACCATGAATTTCAAAATATTTTCAGTGCCCTCCCCAAACTCCATGCCTATTAGCAGTGAATGTCTGTTTCCTCCTGACACTCCATATGCTTAGCCCCGCAGTCCAGTTAACTACCAATGTACTTTCTGTCTTCGTGTTTTTGGCTGTTCTGGATATTTCATTTAAATGGAATCATACAATATGTGTCCTCTGTGTCTGGCTTCTTTTGCTTAACAAAATGTTTTCAAGGTTCATCCAGCCATAACATGTATCAGAACTCTAGTCCTACTTATGGCCAAATAATATTCCATTGCATTGATATTGGCATTTTTCCATCCATTTATTACTTGATGGGCATTTAGTTTTTTCTACTCTTTGTCAGTTATGAATAATGCTTCTATGAACATTTGTGTACCAGTTTTTTCTAGATATATGTTTTCAATTCTCTTGGGTATATGCCTAAAAGTGATAGTTTTGGGTCATATGGTAACTCTGTTTAACTTTTTGAGGAACTGCAAATGGTTTTCCAAGGCAACTGCACCATTTAGGTTCCTAGCAGCAGGTTATGGGGATGTAATTTTTTCCATATCCTTCCCAGAACTTTTTATTTTCCAGTTTCTTGATGTTCTTGTTTATTTCATTTCATTTTTTAAAAAAGATTTTATTTTTAAGTAGTCTCCACACTCGGTGAGGGGCTTGAACCCACAACCCTGTAATCAAGAGTCACATGATCCACTGACTAAGCCAGCCAGGCACCCCTCATTTTGTTTTTGATTCTAGCAATCCATGAGGGTATGAAGGGGTATCTCAATATGGTTTTGATTTTGTATTTCCTTTAATGACTATTGACGTTGAACATTTTTTTCTTGTGCTTGTTGGCCACTTGGAGAAATGTCCATACAAACCCATTCTTCACTTTCAATTGGGTTGTTTATATTTTTATGATTGAATTGTATGAGTTCTTTATATATTCTAAACACAAATCTCTTATCCGATATATAATTTGACAATATTTTCTCTGTTTACATTGTCTTTTAATTTTATTGATGGTATCATATGAAGAACAAAAGTTTAATTTTGATTAAGTCCAATTTACCTATTTTTTTGTTTTGTTGTGTCACTGATTTTTTTCCCCCAAAAGCCCTGTATGTTAAGCTTTTTTCACAGAGTGTACTCTGAAATAGGTCAAATAAAGATGAGTCCTGGTAATGGAGCTTTTAAGTGAGCCATCAGAGAGGCAAATCTCTGGGGATAGGGCTTTTAGGGATCTCCAAATCCATTATGTCTCCTCCGGTGGCTGCTAAATTGCTATTTTTTACAGGTACTATAGTTGTGAAACTGTTGAATTTAAGGCTCCCATAAAGCTGAGGAGAGAGGGATGGGATTAGGGTGTGTTAGAATGCCACCAGACTTATTGTTCTTATTAAGATTCATCTGTTTTTCTTGAATAAACACTTCTCAGAATGTAGCAGGCCTTTAGTTAATTTCCATAGTCCCAATAAATTTATTTTAAGAGTTTTTGTTAGTGTTTTCATTGCTTTTATGGAGGAGAAGATTTTGTGGGGATTGTTACTACATTTGGAATGTCTACATCAAAAAGTGAATTACTGATAAACAGAAAACTTGGATACATCTCAGGAAAATTATGCTGGGTGAAAAAAAAAGTCTCAGAAGGTTACATACCATATGGTTCCATTTACATAGCATTCTGTTAATAAAAAAAATAGGTATGGATTACAGTCTAGAGTTGGCAAGGGTTATGGAAGTGAGGAGGGAAAAGGTGTGTTTATAAAAGCAGAGCAGTTATGAAAGTCCTAGATGGCACCTTCTTGCAATAGAAGGCTATTTCATCTACACTGAAAATCTGTTGTTTAGTGTAGCCACCTTCATTAATTATTTTAGTTATATCTGGATAACTTGCTGCAGCTTCTATACCAATACTTACTGCTTCACCTGGCACTTTTATGTTATGGAGACAGCTTCTGGTTTTTTTTTTTTTTAATGTTTATTTTTATTTATTTTGACAAAGACAGAGAGAATCCAAAGCAGACTGTGCTGTGAGCATGGAGCCCAACGCAGGGCTTGGGCTCACGGTTTGTGAGATCATGACCTGAGCAGGAATCAAGAGTCAAAGGCTTAACCAACTGAGCCACCCAGGTGCCCTGAGACAGCTTCTTTCCTTCAGCCTCATAAATCAATATCTGCTTGCTTCACATTCTTTTCTGCAGCTTCCTCACCTCTCTCAGCCTTCCTAGAACTGAAGAGAGTTAGGGTTTTGCTCTAGATTAGGCTTTGGCTTAAGGGAATGTTGTGCCTGGTTTGATCTTCTATCCGGACCACTAAAACAGCAATAAGGCTGTTTCACTTTCTTATCATTCGTGTGTTCAACGGAGTAGCACTTTTAATTTCCTTTAGGAACTTTTCCTTTGTGTTAAAAACTTAGCTGTTTGGTGCAAGAGACCTAGCTTTTGGCCTATTTTGGCTCTTGACATACCTTCCTCACTGAGCATAATCATTTCTAGCTTTTGATTTAAAGTGAGAGAAGTGCAGCTCTCCCTTTCCTTTGACCACTTAGAGGCCACTGCAGAGTTACTCAATGGCCTAATTTCAATATTGTTGTATCTCAGGGAAGAGGGAGACCCAAGGAGAGGAAAACAGGGAAACAGCAGGTCAGTGGAGCAGTCAGAACACACAAAACATTTATCAGTTAAGTTTTCCATCTTATATGCGTGAGATTTGTGGTACCCCAGAACAGTTACTATAGTAACACCAAAGATTATAGACCACCATAACAAGTATAAGAGTGAAAATTCAGAAATATTGCAAGAATTACCAAAATGTGACACAGAAACACAAAGTGAGCAGATGCTATTGGAAAAACGATGCCAGTAGATAGACTCAGTGCAGGAATGCCACAAACTTTCAATTTGTAAAAAACAAAAACAAAAACAAAAAAACAACCCCCCCCAATATCTGTGAAGTACAATAAAACAAAGCACAGTAAATCAAAGTGTGCCTGTATTACAAAACTATAATAATTATAACCGTATGCCACTGGCATACATATAGACACACGGATCAATGGAACATAATAGAGAGCCAAGAAAAAAACTCCTGCATATAAAGGCAATCAATATTTGGCAAGGGAGCCAAGAATACCCAATGAGAGAAGGAGAATCTCTAACAAATGGTGCTGGGAAAACTTGATGTAACCACATAGAGAAAAATGAACAGGATCTTGAGCTTAGAGATCTTATTTTAAATACTTGGTTGTGCCTCACCTTTCTCCAAATCTTCTGAGTCTCCTGACAAGCAATTCGGTTGACTGATTCCAGCTCTCCATCCTTTATCTTCTCTTGAACATTCACAAACACAGCTGGTAGACAGCCAGCATGGAAAAAAGGAAGGCCCTGAATTCCTAGAAAATCAGAAACTGACTATATTAAGAGTCTTCGACATTTCAGAGACCTCAAACATTACATCATAGTTATTTTCATATTGATTCCAGCTGTGATTCAAAATTTCATGATGAGAAATATATACAGACTTTTGATAAATTTAGATTATATTTTGAAGTAAAATGACATAATCATATCTTTAAATCTGAACCTCAATACTGTGCAAACTGATTCAAATTTAGACTGCTTTATTGCTCCTCAAACATATATTAAAAAGGTTTTCAGTAAACACATAGAATCGAGGTAGTGTTTGAGAAAGTACACTTTATTATTACCTTGACATATTTAATATCATAGCTGTGAATTTAAATATAAGAAAACTTTGACATTTATTAAATTAGCTCAGTGCTCTGATTTCAGATTACTGAACTGTATCTGAACTGAAATGGTCAAAATATAATACTAAATAGTATAAATATCAAATGTAATACTAAAAAATCATACCATGTCTTTTGATACATAAAATTTATAATTTGATCACTGGAGGTTTTCTTGGGTTTTATTTTGAACTAAAACTAATTTTTCATTTTCTTCCTCAATTATGCTGAGATGACTTTGTGTTAAGTCTGGAAATCTCTTTATTCAGAGTTCTTAGTATGGGGTGCAGAGATTCCAGATTTAGTGCTCTATGGTGCATAAAAACTAGATTGGAGGACAGAATATATCTCAAGCAGAACAGCTGAGATTTTACTTTCCCAGTCCTATGCTTATGGTGGTGTACATGTTGAAAAATGGTGTAGATTTCATCATAAACGATACTTGGGAGGCAAGAGGGTGCACTAGAAAGTGCCCTGATTTAAGAGAGAGGAAACATAGTTCTAATCCCAGTGTTCTTAATAACTAGCAGTGTGACCCTTGCTATATTATTTAAAGTTCTTTAGGTTTAAATAAGAAAAGTATTCTATGATTCTAATTGACAAAAAATCAAGAATCACCTAGTGATTAAAACAATATAAAGGGGTGTCTTGGGTAGCTCAGTCAGTTGAAGGTCCCACTCTTGAGTTCGTCTCAGGTCATGATCCCAGAATCGTGGGATCAAGCCCCACATCAGGCTCTGCACTGGGTATGCAGCCTGCTTGAGATTCTCTCTCCCTAAAACAATATAATTATATAAAGAAATTCAAGCTACCTAAATATTATTTTTAAAATAGAAATTTTTGTAATATACATTATATTGTTAAAATCTAAGATATGTGCAATCCTATTTTACAGTAATAGCTCCAGTCTTAAATGTTTTTCTCAACTCTGTTCAAGGCACTTTGATTGGTGTTATGAAGGATATAAAGATGAAGTTGACCCTATCTCCCCAGCTCTTATGAAACTCACCTTTGAATAGGTGCGCCCTCTCCTCCAAGCTGTTCCCTTTCTTTCAGCAGAAAAACTTGCATCCTAATTCAAATAAAGAATTAAGAAATACATCTCTATCTCTGTGAGATTATTTCTTTTTAAATTTCTTTTTTGTTAAGAAATTTTTAAAGTTTTAATTTATTTGAAGTAATCTTTATATCCAACGTGGGGCTCAAACTCATCACCCTGAGATCAAGAGTCATACGCTCTTCTGACTGAGCCAGCCAGGCCAGGTCCCTCTCTATAAGCCTCCCTTTCTTCCTCCAACGTTGGAAGAAGAAGGGTTGTGGCTCTTGTTCCGGTATGATCCTGGCCCTTGTGCTTTGGTCCATCTCCTCCCTTCTTCTGAGCTTCTGGGCTCAGGCTCATTACTTTCTCAATGGATTTTTTCCCACGCATAGTAAAGTTTTTAAGACTCAAAGCAACCAAAACCATGACCTGAGGTATTTTCTCCTTCACTAGGTACCATCCAAGCTTGCAAAGAAGAGCCCATGCTTGCTTTTCCACTTCCTCACATCTTACCATGTGAGGGAAGATAGATTACTGTTGACACTGTGTTGCTGTCCTGCTGGATATCTCACATTCTGGATTTTGCTGATTGCTTTTTTATAGGGATTTTAATTCATCCTTCTGGCACGTCTTTCCTGTCAACTGGAAGTTTGTTCTAATGGCTTAATTAGATTCAGGCAGAACATTTTTGTCAGCGCAGGTTTTATAAGAGCATGAATTTTTTTATTGTTGTTGTGTTATAAGAAGGGCTGTGAGGCTCGAACTTGCCTGTGTCCTTTAGTGGCTGGGTATACCTATATTTGGCACGTGGCAAAGCTTCATCTCACTCATTCTAATTAATTCTTTCTTGGCTTCTGCCCCCAAGCAAATCTTCAAATCTGAAACTTCTTGCAAAATACCACCAGTGACCAAAGCAAGTTTCTGTGATGTGACATGGTTGGCTGTACCCTGAAGCAATACAGGGAAGATGTGTTACAGAACTGATTACTGTGGTGAGAGACTGGGGTTCAGTCCAGCAGGGGGCCCTCTGAAGATCCATGTACAAGGCACTGCACAGCTGTCCCTTTCTTGAAACTGGGATGCTGTAGCATAGATCTACCAATTCCCATCATCCCTTGCTTAAGGACTGTTTTGGGGGCATGCACTTCCCCTTGAACTCCTGTGCTGTTGCAAGAGCACTGCCAAAGAGAACGATCTTTCAAGAGAAAACCTTGAGCCAGAAAAGCAAAGTGGCCTGTTATCATGGTCTGGGAGTGCCTGCCATAGCTTCAGCTGAAATCAGAAGTTGGTGTGACATGGGACACCCCATGCATCTACCAGTGTCTCCAAATCTGATCTGACTCCTAGAGTCTCAAATACACTGACAGCACTGTCCACTTAGTCAACCATGACAGAAACATCTAATTGCCCTTCTTCATTCTCTTTTTCCTTTTGGTAATATGGAGAGCTCTTGGGGTGTGGGATGAGTGAAAAGACTAAGCAGTAGGTGTCCAGAGAAGAGGGGACTGGAAACGAGTTCAGGCATGCAGGGAGAGAACCCTGACCTCTGAAAGCTGAATTTCTGCCATTTCTAGGAATACTTGGGATGAGGCAGACCTGAATGACAAGGATGTGATGAGTGTGTGTGAGTGTGTGTGTGTATGTGTGTGTAAAGCATCTCAGGGGCACATTTGTTTGTGAAAAATCATCATCTAGGATTACGTGGAATTTAACTTGTGGGTGTGAACTTATTGTGGAAGGAGGGAGATTTGAAATGACCACCATTACAATAAAGCCTGAATGCTGTTGTGAATTGCCTGTATTTGAATACAGGAAGCCTGGACATGTCTATTTTAAAATATGTTAGTTTATTTCTATTTAGTAATAGACACCGAGTTTTAGCTGGGCACAGAGCTACCCCTTTAATGACTATTTCCCAGTCGACCTTGCAGGTGGATATGGTGATAAGACTAAGTTCTCCCCAGTGAAAAATGGCAAAATTATATAAAAGTCCATTAAAGAAGGAATTGTTTGCATTTCCTCTTTCTTCTTTCCTGCAGGCCACAATATAGATATAATTCTAGTGAGTGTGCTTTGCCTGTGAAGATGAGGACAACTCACTAGGAGTTGGAGGAAAAATGATAAAGGAACCTGGACTCATGAAGAACTTACTGGGCAGAACCACCCTGCCAGCCCTATTACCACTCACTTCTGGACTCAATGGACAGAAACAGGTTTCCATCTTTGATCTTAGGGCCTCTTTGGCACAGAAGTTTGGTTTATACACTAACACAATATCCAAGCAAGAATCTTGGGAGATAGTCTATAGTCCTTCCTTTCTCATATACCCGATGGCTCTCTGCATCCCCAAACATACAATTATAGGTCCAGCTCAATCTCTTTAACCTTTCATATCTGTGTCTTCCTAGTCAAGCCCACCACTGCCACCCCTACTGAGGACCACATCATCTCACTGGACTACAACAGCATTCCCTTAACCATTCTTGCCCCCACAGTCTTGCACTGTCAATTCATTCAGAAGAGTCTCAAGAAAACAAATTCAATTGTCAAGTCCCTACTTAAAATTTCTCAATAAATTCACACTCTATGCAAAAACTCCTTGCCATGGCATACAAAGCTTCCATGATCTGATCCTAACTAACCAACATTGCCAGGTTGTTTTCATTCCAGACTTCCCCTCAAATCCTAGGGTCTGGTCAAAACAAAATACATGCTGTAACGTGAACATTCCCATTGTTGGAACTATTACTGTCTGTAGGAACTATAACTCTTTATTGAAGGTATTTCCTTAACTGTCTTCCTCAACATTCTTATCCCCCAACTTCATCTATTACAAATGATGGCTATCCAGACAGGAATATCTGCCAGAGATATCAGAAAATACTGCGTTTTCCCTCTAGGGTTTGTAAGTTGGTAGGGTGTGGGTATTGGGCATCCTGGGAATAATTTTGGCTGCCATGTCATAAAATCTAGCCTGACAGATGATACAGTAGAGATTGCGATTTATACAATATCTGTCTTCAGCATTCTACAAAAAGGAATCTGTAAATTTTAACGTGATACATGTTGACCCAGAATAAAAGACTACCTCTCCCAGGCACTCTCTCTCTCTTTTTTTAATGTTTATTTTTGAGAGAGAGAGGAGAGAGATAGAGAGGAGAGAGAGAGAGAGAGAGAGAGAGAGAGAGAGAGAGAGAGAGAGAG